CCAAGCACTGACTAAACTCTCTCAAGAATACCGCATGATGGAATTGAGACCTTATGTTTTCCATGAATAGCTTCATGTCATCTCCTACACAAGTGGATTATTTCAGAATATCGGTTTATGGACTGACTAAATCTGAATGACCTTGGAAACTTGTTACACTACAGATTCCTAGGTTGTGCTGACCAAGACTTTGCCTTAGGATGTTTGATAGGCAGCCGAGTTTGCTACGCTTGGGAACTCCAGTCCAAGACAGTGCCTCAAATTACAAGTCACTTTGGACAGAGCCCCAGCGCTCATTTGATGCAGTCATTTTCACCGTGTCCTGTCAACTCTGATGCTGTCTGAATGATTTTCAAGTAGAGGAATTGTGCCACTTAGTTATATCTGAATAGAAGGAAACTAGGAGCCCCAGTAGCAGTCTGTTGAGTTACCCGCCACAGAATGATCCACTGAGGCTTATCTTCCAGACACACTGAGATCCAAAGAAAGCTGTATAAAGGGATTGTGGGTATAAGACTATCAGATACATCAGTGTGCACACATATGTGCCTATACGTGTACACGTGCTCTCACTGCCTTGTTTCTGGGAGCTGTGAACGAAGTCAGCCAAGCTCTTGACCAGGGCTGCTGTGAATGATGGCTCAGGCTGTACACTGCACAGTTCAGGGCATCATTTTCACAGACTGTGATGTGAACGGCCCCCAGAAGTTGTGCAGTGTCCTTGTAGAAAGTTAGACATTATTTTGAAAACCAGAAGACACCCACTACTGCGGAATCGAACAACGTTTGGAGGTGAAAGTTCACGGGATTAGATTCTCTTCTTGCTCTGCAAGCGGGATCTCAAGCTCTGCTCTCAGCACATGGGCACACATATGTACACACTGTATCTTCTGCACTTCCCCTTTCCTTTAATCCAGGCTGATTTGCGAGAGCTTCCCTCCCACACTTCAGTACCACAGATGGATTGGGAAAAGCCACAACAAATTAGGGGTGGGGAGTTAGTTCATGGGGGACAATTTCCCAACTCAGGGCTCCTCCAGGCTTCTTTATCTCCAGAGCCCTTTTCTTGAAACCCAGTCCCATGCAATAAAGCACGTTTATTTCATGCAGACAAAGCTTAGTTGATGCTTATAGTTCCAGCTACCCCAGTTTCCTGGGCACAGCTTGGTTGGGAGGGCCTGGTATGACGGAACATGCACAGCGCAGCGACAGGGTGTGTTCACCACCAAACACAGAGAAGGAAGGGAGCTGCAAAGCTACGGTAGCTAGAGGAGGACTAGCTTTCCTGATTTCAGTTCACGAAAAGCCTCTGGCCTCTACAGTTCACTCGTTTGGCCTGGCATTTGCCCTTGGCTGTGAGATGACATTTCATTCAAAGTAAGTCAGATGAATTCCCAGGCTTGTGGGATCAGGGCTGGAGTCTCCCCTCCATTGCAGTCCTTCCCTCAAAACCAGTCCTAGGCTTTTGCATTTGTTTTTGTTAAGCAATTGGATCGTCCTGAAATGTGTATTTCCTCCAATCTCTTCCACTTTGCAAACTCCACAGAAGCGTGTAACCAGTAATTTAAAACCCACAGGGACACTGACTGTGAGCTAAGGCTTCAGACATGCAAAGCGCACAACCCTGGGGAACAGCAGCGTCCGGGACAGGAGGCTCCCATCACTTCACACGTGGGTGGCGTGGGTTTTTGCAAATCAAACGCACGTAGAAACCCAGTGGTGGCCCAGGTTGGACACACTGCACGGGAGGCACGGTGGAGTGAGGACCCAGACCAGGGAGCCACCTGTTCCTGTAGCTTGCGTACATTTAGTTCACACCACCTCAGGCCACTCACACTTTGCTTACCTGCTCATTGTTGCTCTCCCACCATTCCCCATACTCCCTTTGGGGGTGAAACACTCTATTTCCGACTTGTGCTGGGCCAGTCTCCTGTCTTTGTACCTGGTGAGCACGAACAGGGACAGGAGCAAACAGAGAGATGTGATTGTGTGCTTCCCTGGCCGGGCTGAGGAAGAGCTGGGGCTGCAGAGGGTGGCCCCTCGCCCGAACAGGGCTCCTGCTTTCACTGCGGTGGCTGACCTGTGATGCTATAGATGGTTGTGATGGTATATCGATAACACTGGGGGGTAATTTTGTTACTCCTTGGGTGAGCCACATGTGATCTACCCTTTTACATTGCCTGTTGATCATATTTAATAGTCAGTGGAAAAAGGATGTAATTCATAGCCTCTAAGAAAAAGATGAATATCAGTACATTAGAATTTAGTGTTTACCATATGCCAGACCTGGTGCTGGAATTTGACCCAAATGTAGTCCTGGCAACAACTTGTGGCAGAGCCTCTGCTATCATTGTATCCATTTTACTGAAGCAGAAACTTAAGATTATAAGGATTAAGTAGATTGATCAAGGATTTTGGACACAGGAATCTAAGTTCAGAACCTACACTTTTAGCCATTATAATGTGTTTGCCATCTAGTTTAAAAAGTCATTCTTATCATTAATGAACCTTCCATGAGTGGTACTGTGTCTGAGCGTGATACTAGAGACTGGTGATGCCAAAAGAGAAAAGAGACGTTCCTTGGATGTGAGAGGTTTACATAACCATTAAGCTGAAGTGTGACAGTCAGTATTGGGCTGCTTGCATTGTGGTGAGTGGCTTAAACAGCTTTTATATCAGAGTTAACAATTCACCACATCTGGAAGGTACTAGAAATTTCATCTAAAATAAGTTAAGAGATTTCCAACGTTTGTCTGCTACATGGTGCATCAGGATGAACCCTTATACTTGTATGACAGTTTTCAGAGCCAACATGCTTTCACAGAAATAATCTTTTTTTAATTCATCAGTTTAAGCCCGTGGGGTAATTAAAGAGGCATTGTTATCCCCATTTGCCAAATGAGGAAACTGAGACTTACTTAACTGACTTGACCAAAATCACAAGCCTAGTGAGTAGAGAGTAATAGTCAGTAGAGCTTGCAAGCGTCCAAGGCTCTTAAGGTTTATTATTATCTTTATTACATTTTCCCTTCTAAATCTGGAGCCTGATCTGGTGCCACTTCATCCACGTTCCTGTTATTCAGCAGGTAGTGATAAAGTGACTATCAGAAGACCTGTTTACTCTTGATATAGTCACTTTTAAAAAAAGTTTTCTTTTTCTGCTGTCTCAAAATTCATGTTAAATAAAACAAAAGGCAACAAAATTAAAATCATTATTTGTCCTGGGATAAAGGGCTTGCTCATAACTTTTTTCTCTTCTTAGATGTGAAAAGTATTTAGTATTTGAGTGAAAGTGAAATGGCTCGTTAAGTCAAGCAAAATGGATTACCTTCTTCAGTGAACATTAGTTGAGCATCTATTAAATTCTAGGCAATAGGCTTTGTCCTAGGGATAGAGAGATAAATAATCTTCAGGTCCTGCCTCATAGAGCTCACAGTCTCATGGGAGAAGGAAGGGGAGAAGACAGTATGTACACAGTAACTTTAGGTCTAAGCCATAAAGAAGAGAGGAAAAGAACTTAAAAGACTTTCTTTGAGAAGGTAAAGCATCGGACCAAACCAGATTGAGCAGCTTTTATTTCACCAAAGAAAACACCTTGGAAGAGGATCCCTTGTGAAGTACCAATCATCGAAGGGCATTCCACATTTCAATAGAAATTTTTTGTGTTTATTTGTGAATTGGGTTGCATAGTCAGAATGCTGCTCTAGAGCTTAAATTAAAAGAATATTAATAGAATAATAGAAGTATTCATGGTTCCTTACAAAGGGTTCCTTAAAAGTATTTTGAATATCTTCTGTTAGGCTAATTTCCAGTTAATTTAAATTTTTTCATAGCTAATTTAGGACATCTACACTCTTCATGCCCCAAAGCTCTTCTTTCTGTCTCTATCTATGTCGCTCTGTCTGTCTCTCTCTCATGTACACACACACATAGGCACACACTCTGCCAGGTGCCCCTGCTTATGAAACATCTTATTCTCTCATAACCCACTCTCTTTTGGTAAAAGATTTTACAAAACAAAATAAAAAATACAAATCCCGACTTATTCCAATAAAGCAAGAGATACATTAGACTTATTTAGAAGTTTCAAATAGTTCTTGTATCCAAGGAGAAAATGTCATTTACAGATTGGGAAGCTTATCTTTGCTTTTGGATGGGACACTTCTTCCTGTCTATAACTATAATTACAGCTTAACTATGTTTACCAGATACTTAAATAAACCACATTTTCATTCATTCACTTATTCATTGTTCCATTCACCATAATGTGCTGTTTCAAGTAGCTAATAATGCTTCTATAGTCTCTGCTGCAGGTGTATAATTCTTTCCATTTGGGCTTATTGCAGAACTCTAGAACTGTCAATTAAAATAGTTAAAGCTTTTCAGAGTTTATAGCTAATAAAATATCAGTGAAAATTACTTCTCTTATATAATAAATTCATATATCTTTTAGGCACTTACTAAAGCAGAGATATACACAGAGTTACGCACACATATACACACATACTTTTGAGGTACGGTTTTACGTGCTTTACAAATATTAACTCAGTTTTCAAAAAATGCTTTGTGATTATATTCAAGGTCATAATAGAAATAATGATGATAACAGAATATTGAATGTTCCAGGTTCTTTTTGGTATATTATCTTCAATTCTTAAAACTACCCTACAAAGTAGGTGCTATTTTCCTTACTCCAAAGAGGCAGGCCTTGAGGATCAGGGTCCGTAAGCCCAAGCTTACAAGGTTTATGAATGGGGAACCCAGTATTAGAAAATGACTCCAAAGCTCATCTTATTTCCATTCATCTTCCGTATAAGTAACAATGTCAGTAATTTTAGAAACAAAACTATGAAGACTTACTATTTACCTTTTCTAGGCCCCATTTTGCAAATAAGTAGTAGAGTTAATAAGGATGGCTAGTGGAGGAGCTAGTGGAGGACTTTACATCGTGTTCCCTCATTTGGGTTCCTATAGATGCACTACATATGTTTAATTTACAGCATTCAAACCATTTACTGAATACCCCATGTGCAAGGCACTGTGATAAGGAGCACGTGGATAACTCTATGCCATTGATAAGTTCATAGCCTGGAGTGGGAGGATGAAATGTAAGCAGATAATTTTCAAACAACGTGAGAAGTTTTATTATAGAAACGGATGCAAGAAGGACTCCTAACCCATACTAGAATGGCAGGAAAAACTTCAGTGAGATATGATTCCAGGGTAAATCTTGAAAGATGAGTAGGAATGCAGTATGAAAAGATGGGTACGCAAGCAGAAGAGACATCAAGAGCAAACAGCATGGTGTGCACGGGGAAACAGTGCTTGGTGTTTTTTACTGTAACCTAGGGTAAATAACACAAGGTAAAATGCATGGTGTGGATGGAGAGGCTAAGAAAAAAATGTGGTCGGAGTTGACATTTAGATAAAATACTACGGACTTGAGGGAATGGAACTAGAGATAGAGCGACTCATTCTATTGTAATAGTTCATGTGAGAGACGTTGAGATAATTCCTTGGGGTAGTGATAATAGGAGGAAAATTAGAGAACAGTTTCAAAAATATTTAGGAGGTAGAATGAGTAGGATTATCGATGAGTTTAAGAGAGAGAAGTGCAGAATGCTACCTCGGTTACTGCCTTGGGTGGTGCACTTAACTGAGTTAAGAAAATATAGGAGAAGGAGTATATTTGGAGGAAGAAATAAAAAGCTTCATTGTGGAATATTGGGTTTGAGATGCTGGTGGAACATACAATTGGACAAATTCAGCAGGCACATGGGTTTAAGAATCCAGAAGTTAGGGGACTATTATGTACTTGGGAGCCATTAGCATACAGATGACTGCAAATACCGCGAGAACGGTTGAAAGTGCCCACAGAGAGCAGGTAAACTATGGGGTGGTGGAGGGAAGGATTACGGACTTGCTCATTCTACCTGTTAACAAACTCCTCTAACACTGTTAATGGAAGCATTCCCTCTAAATGTTTTCTGAGTACCTGCTATATGCTAGATACTGAATTCAGGGTTCTTCAATCTGCTGTTTTTTTCCCTTTACAGTCTCCAGACTTGTAGATCTGTGCTCAATATAGCTTTGACACTTTGGTTTCTGGGCCATAATCTTAGCGTGAAAATCTGTCACAATAGGTTTAAGAGATTTAAGAATGATTTGTTCTGAAATTAGCTTTAGTTGCCGTCTATGAAGATTTTTTTTTTTTGATTCCTTTTGTACCTCCTTTGTCCAGGAAGCTCTAGTTCCTCTTTACTCAGTTCTACAAGAACCCATGTTCGTCTGGTGAATTTAAAAGATATGGGGGTAATCACTAAGGATTGGATAGTAAATGTAATTTCTCCATAATGATTTGAATAAAAAATTCCATTTCTTTACTCCCTTTCCCCTGTCTCTCCCAATATCTACTAGACACTGGATTACTGAAATTTCTATATAGGCTCTGTGTCCAGAATGGATAAATGAGTCCAGAATGAGGTGAAAGACCAGAATAAAATGAATAAATTCAAAGAAGAATGTGTATATTAGGTGAAATAGCAGGTATTGTGGGGATGATGCCTGAAGCTAGAAGGAAAAGAGAGAGTTTGATATTAGACATAAGGACTCCTTATGGGAGGGAGAGTCAGGTAATATGTTTACTAGAGGTAGGATGGCTAAAATGATAATTCTAATTGCATTAGAATTTAATCATTACAATTGAGAAATGAGCCCATGGTGATGGTTTCCTCTTTATTATATAGGCACTAAAGTAACCCAGAACGATAGCAGAGCTTGGGGTGGACAGAAATTCTTTACCCAGAAGTTGGTAGTAAATAGTAATTTTAAAGAAAGTTGAAAGATAGAGGGATAACTAGATGTCAAGAGCCTCAGTGAAGGCGGTTTTTCACTTTTACATTTCTGTGTGACATATGTCTGGAAGTAGCATGGAGTTGCTGACCCCCAGCTCTGTGCCCTGAGGAATATGTGATGTGGAAGGATAAGTAACCTATGAAAGGCCTACAGGGGAAGGAATGTCCTTAGGAGAGAACCAGGTTTTAAGGTAAAGAAAATACAGTAAATGGAGTGTTTAATGAAGAGGTTGAAATTGAAGGAGGGTCTTTATCAAGAAATAGGGATTACAGACAGAGCCTTCAAATGGTTTAGAAGGGAAAAGTCCAGTGGGTGAAACAAAGACCAATATGTGTAATTGGAATTTCCCATCACGATACTGTTTCTGAGATGGTAGGAAGATTCCATGGTAAATTCTCTCACCTTCCCTTAATGTCAAGTGCAAAGATTTTCCATCATCCACGAGTGAGGAGGCCCATGAAGCAAGTGCTGTTGTGAGTAGCTATCCCATGTTTTCTGATACATATTGCAGACTCTCTGAGTATGTGGTTGAGATCAGAGGGGGAAAACAGCATTGAGATCCTGGAGGTCTCAGTAGAGGGAAACAAGGGACAGAAGAGGAGAAAGCTGAAGGTGCCAGAGGCACGTTTCTCTGACTCCATAATTTAGTCAAGGCCTTGTCCTGCCCAAAGTGTTGTTCCTTCCAGTGGCTAAAATTATCTTGAGAAATAGTTTTCTTTTTCCCATCTTCTCTCCCACACTGACTCCCACTATGCCGCATACTCCACTCTTTGAAGGAGCGTTGAGCTAATTCTTCTGAACTCTGAACAATGCCCAGCTCATTTTCTGCTCCCACACTAGGTATCATTCAGTTTAGTGTGAACCACAGGGAGACATTTTCTCCTATGTGTAGAAACCACCGTACACACATTTTACTTTATTCCATCATCCTTTAAAATATTCAGAGGGAAAAAAAAAAACCCCAACAGTGGTCTCTATTAGAGGTCAATGAAAGGAAGATGGAAAATGTTGGAAATTTCATGTATGTTTTCTGTGTAAATTCAATATGGAATGGTCACCAATAGGGCAGGAGAGAAGGATTGGGGAGTTAGTGTGTAGGAGGGTGTTTTTAAAGGAAATTTCTCATTTAAACCATTATAAATGCATCCTATTTACGAAGTAAACTTAAATCCTCTTTTTCTTCAACTGCATTCTGTTATTCAGAATAGAAGTATGGTATGAGCAGAGATAAATGATATGGAAGGAAAGAGTCTTTTCCTCAAAAATAAAAATTATTGACGTAGTTATAGAACAAATCACTTCGTCACAGAAAACCCAGTAAGTGATTTTCACACCAAAATTTCTGTCAAGAAGGCAGAGTTTTGAGGCTAAGATTAAGCATAAACCTAGAAAACTAGAGAATTACAAAAAGATGATGAGTGAATAAAACTTGTGAATGAATATGTGGATGAATAAATGAATAAAATGGAAAGGTAACTTGCAGGGGTTATCAAATCTCCAAAGGGCTTTGTTGTTATTTGTTTTGCTTGGTTTTGTTTTGTTTTTATGAAGTGGAAACTGAAGCAACTTTGTAGACTTAGGTCAAGAGACCAAGGAAGAGAGGAAAAAAATTAAAGATGTTTGGGGAAAGGGAATACCTAGTGTAGAGTTTTGAGATAAAACAATTACAGAATAAAAGGAAAGAACACACTTTTTTCACTTATACATCATAATTAACCAGTTGGCATATACTGCAGGCTTCATCTTCACACCATACCCGGAATCTGACCATTTCTTACCACCCCCTCTATTTACTACCCTGGTCCAAGCCACTGTCATATTTTCCTATGAAAATTACACTGGCTTCCCAAACTGGCCCTGCTTCTGTCCTTACAAAAACCCTCCCCACCACCCAACCCAGCCTCACCATATCCAGTCTTCAGACAGCAACCAGGATAATCCCGTCAATACAAACATCTTTTTTATCGCTTCTCTGCTCACCTCATCTCCCTGAGTAAATCTAAATTTCTTATAACGGTTTACAAAGTCCTGTATAATCTTCTCCCTCTACTGTTTCTCTGATCCCATAACTTACTTTTTTCCCCCTTCCCCACTTTGTTCTGCTTGAAGACACCAGGCATCCTCCCACCAAAGTGCCATTTGCTTTGGTCATTTCCTCTGCCTTCAGTGCTTCCCCACAAAATATCTTGAGAGATTACCTCCTTTAAATCTTTTCTCAAATGTTCCTTTCTCAATATAGCCTGCCATGACCACCCTGTTTAAAAATGCAACTGTAACCTCACTCTTCCTACCATTTCCTGCTTTTATCTTATCCACCATAATTTATATTCTACTTATTTGTTTTATTTACTGTCTTTTTTCCCAGTAGAACCTTCAAAAAAATGTGAGCTCTATGAAGCATATTAGACTGTTTCCTTCACTGCCATCTTTCCAGTGCCTATGACATTGCCGAGCTTATTACGGGTGATGGTATTTGTTGAATGAATATATGCATAAATGAATGAATAAAAGGAGAACCGTGTTATGGGAAAATATTCAGGTGGGGAGGAGGAAAGATGAGCAAGCTCATGAGAAACGACATGAGATCTCTCAAAGTTGGAATGATAATCAGTGAGAGGAGAAGGGGTGGAATTTGAGGTTTGTGAAAGTATGGGTAGAAAAGTGAAATAGCCACTATGGGCAGGAAGCTTATGGAATAAGCAAAAAATACAAGGAAAATGATTGGCAGGTAAAACACAGAAGGTTGTACAAAAGATCCTCATTTTAAAAAAAGTATTTGCCTCTCTTTCATATAGCCCCATTCTTCATACCAAGCTATCCCATTCTGACATTGACGAGTTAGATGCTGATTAGACTAAGATGATGATGGTGACCCATTTTACTCTCCTTTTCAGCCAATGATCATGGGAGAGGGTATTCTGGACATTTCTAATGATTTTTTTAGTCTTATCAAGAAAGCACTGGAAAACATGGTCCCTTTTCGCTGTGGACAGTTGTTTGGATGTGATACCTGACAATGTTACAACCATGCAGCAGGCATGAGAGAAGTTAAGGCAACATTCCCAAAAATGGTGGCATGGAAGATTAAAAGAACATAGGTCCTAGGCAATGTCTCTGAGGCACTGAATTAGCCTCTTTTTTTTTTTTTTTTTTTTTTTTGCGGTACGCGGGCCTCTCACTGTTGTGGCCTCTCCCATTGCGGAGCACAGGCTCCGGACGCGCAGGCTCAGCGGCCATGGCTCACGGGCCCAGC